GGGGTGTAAAAAAAGCCCCTCCCAAAAAGCCCATCGAAAACCGTAAAAAAGCCCTTGTGGAGGTGAAGCACGAGGACATCTTCCTCGGCCTCCGGAAGGTCTGCGCTCAGTGCAAGAAGCTGCAACCAGAGGACGCTCGCTCCGGAACTAATAGGAATTGTATTAGTAATGAGATGTAATGAGTAATACCAAACAATACTACTACTAACGCTAAGTTATTAAGCGTGATAATACTAATAGTAGTAGTAACTGAAACAAAACAGAAAAATAGCGGTGAGCAAGCTCGTAGATTCGAAGTTCCTCGGTTTCTCGCACGTCTGGTCAAGGAAATAGAGAACAAGGCCGCCAACATTCGAGAGCTTGGCGAGCAAATTGTCCACTTAGATTCGTATCTCGGCAATCTAGACCGCTCACGAACAGCAGAAGAAGCCAGGGGCCAGCTCTGACATCCCAGGTTTGTACGGCTGAACTACGTGGGTTTCCAGACGCTTACTGAGAAGTTCGACGACCTCCTGGGCACAGCTGGCAGTGCGCTCTTTGTGTCCGGTCTTCACTGCGAGCCTTTCTGCATCTCGACCGGCAGTTGCCCGCAGCAACGTATGACGTTTTTGACCTATTGTCACACTTTCGTGTGTGTCACACCAGGCCCATCCATCCGTGCTACCTCTTGTAGTCACAACCTGATATAAGGTAACATTCGCTTCGATGACATTTTGATCCTCCTGGGCTTGGCCTGGGCGCTCTGGCGCACGGCACAGTCCACAGAGCAAAGCAAGGAGGGGCTTCAGCTCTCTTTGAGGATGCTTATAGGTATTATAAGTTTTTCATACTTAAGCCCTTGAAAAACTCCGTTGCGACGAGAACTTGACAAGTCGGTTCCATTTCAGTTTGCGTTTGGGGCGAGGATGCCACGTGGAAGCCGCCCGAGAGCTTTATCCGGCACCTTGTTTCTCTCTGGTGTCCTATGCCGTCGATGCCTTTAGCATCCTGTAGCACTGAGGAATACGTCGAAATACTGGGTAGCACCCGAGAATGTGGTCCTGTTGAAGACCCGCATCGTCGAACACCTGCCGCCCCTGGATGCACGACAGTTGCAGCATACAGAATGAGAGGGCAGACAGCATCTGAGCCCTCAGTCCCGCTTTCGTATTCTCGAACCGTTGCCCAAGTGCCGGCCAAGGTATCTAATCTTCGGCGCATCTCAAACAGCGCCTCTTCTACAATGACGGCCTGGCCAGCCCTTTTTTGTGACATCAGGGCGCAGTCCCAAAAAGAAGAAGTGGGCTCGCCAGAAAGCACCTCAAGGCGGCATGAATAGTACAAGTCAATGATGCAAGCAATGGATCTGCAACCGCATGGTTGCATGGCATGGTGCAGACTACAAGTGAAAGAGTTGCGACTAGATGAGACAGACAGTAGCCAGTATGCTACCGGACATGCCACTACAATCTCGTTCAAATTTTACATACGCTCAGGGGCCGAGAGACAGGGAAAGAGAGGCGACAGCGACCCTGATGCCTGTGCGAGGGGGGGTATGCGGAGTATGCTTGCCTTGAGCCTGCTGGAAACAAAGGGGGAGAATTCTGAGACCACGCACGCGTTGCACAGGTTGGTTGACTTATATTTTATTCTATCGACCGGGTTTATGCACGAATTTTCCGAATGGGGCGTCGATAAGGAGCAAGAAAAGCTTCTGGAGCCTTTCGCGCTCTTGGATCTGGAGTATGATGGCCTTGATGACCAGAAGGAGAGGGTGTAAGCAAGTGTGCTGTCATATTGCTCTTTCAAAGGCTTGTCTCGTTAAAGTCGTTGCCGAGAGCAATGTGTTTGACCTGTTCAGGCTCTCAGCGCCTACTCGGGCACGATGGAGGAGTCGCAGCTTCTCAGCTCAGTGTACTTCGACAGTCGGGGCCTTGAAAAGTGCAGCAGTCATGAGCAGAACACGAGAGAGGAATCGCATGGAGGGGCCAGCTGCTTGACCATTGTGGGTTGAAGGGTGTGGAGCTTTGCTCCGTGTCGTTTTTCACAGCCCTCTCCGAGCGAGACTCAGTTTCTCTCAGCGTGCAAGAGACCCGCTAAAGGTCACCGAAACTGCTCAGGTTTCGCACGTATTCCTATCGGGTTTTGCTCCCACCACCCCACCATACCCCACCCAAAAGCAAGACTTCGCATTGCCTGTCTCTCCTCTCAGCCCCAGCAGCCCGTGAGTCCACAAGCTCACCGCCGAAAGCAGAGGAGACTTTCCCTCCTCCTTTCATCAAAGCCAGCTGTTCCCTACTTGGGCCAAGGTCCGGAGGCAACCAGTTACCAGGAGCGGATCCGCCGTGAAGAGGGGGCTCGATTGGTCAGGCAGCGATTTTGTTTTTCTCAGGCTGTCTCTTTGTTTTTTCATTTCTGCCTCTGCCTCTCTCACTGGTTGTTCCACTGTCACTGGGCCAATGCTTGACAAGCTGGTTTCACGAGACACATGCTGCAATGCTTCCGCAGGTTTCGATGGTATGGAGAGAGACCAAGACCGCAAAGCATGACATTTCTTGAGCGGTTTTAGATTATGGTCTCGGATCCTGAATCATGACAGGCAAGGCACGGGCTACTGCACCCCAATCTCGGAGCGTAGAAACGTTGCTTTGGGGAAGATTAAAATGCAACTCCATCGAAGCCAGGGTCAGGCAGCTTTTTCTCGTCGTTTGTTTACTGGTATGGGATCCTAAGGGAGGGGGTAACCCAATAATCCCCTATTCTCCTTATGGTGCTCCCTAAGGCTCCACAGTACCCTCCCCCCTTACATAGAAGCCCCTCCTTTCAGGATCCCATAGTTTATCGTGAAGTCGTTTGGAACGCGTCCATTAGTTCTTGACGCCTGGCGTCCATCTGGTGCTTAATATTACCGTTTCTTGTGGTCTTGGCATGCCATGATAAGCCGACAAACCTCTTACCATGATAAAACCCCTGAAGGTAAGTGTGGCACCCGCACTGTGGAGTTGGTTTGGATGGGTGCGGAATTTTATGGAATTTTCACAATTACCACCTTAGCTTGTGTGTGATAAATTAAAACGAGGACTGCACGGTTTGGGTTCGGGTTTCCCATGGCAGCTGTCAGGCTTTCGGGGGTTTCCGGTCCAGACTTGGGGTTGGAGACGGGCACTTGCCTTGCTCCGCCGTCCTCCCCCCTTGTCTGCTATTCCTGAAATCTGGCTGAAAAATTTTTGTCGCCTGCAAGGAATAGCCAGGAGCCTGACAAGGAGATCTACGTGGAGCGAAAGATCCACCACGAGGGCTGGGGTGGCAAGAAGTCAGCAAAAGAACGCTGCGTTATTCCCCAGGAGGCCGGCGCTGGAAATTGCACCCGACAATCAGCATGTTCGCCGGGTGCAGGACATCTTCGATTTCATGAAAGGCAAGTTTGACATTGACGGGTACTTCAAGCAGCGGCTCGGCTGAAAGTCCTCGCCCCCTTTCAATCCTGCCACTAGTACTCCTCTGCGCTCCGCCTATTGCATCCGTTCGGTAACCCAGGCTCGAGGAGCAGGGAATGTATTCAGAAAAGGCCCGGAAGAACATGAAGGGCATCGCTGTTGAGGCCGGGTGTCACGCAAGTGCATCTTGCAAAAGCAAGCTGTGGCCACTATAGGTGAACAAGCTGATCCAAGACAAGACGCTTGGCGGCTAAATGCCAACATGATCCAAAAAGCAGGGCCAGGCAATGATCTGTTCAGGCCGTTGCGCCAACTACTTGCACAGCTTGTGTCATGTCTTTGGCACAAGGAAACTGCAGCCCATCATCCGTACTTCGTATTACAGATGTGCCTTTCAGCGCCAGGGCTGCAAGACACCAAGCATCGTTTGATCCAGTGGGGGTTGCAAGCTTGCATCGTCCACTCAGGCTTGCGACGGACAACAAAGTCCGCATTTCCCTCGACACGCAGATGTCTCTTCTAAATGCTCTTCTGCTGCACTTCAGGTGGACCCAGTCTCCAGCCAGTTTTGTTCAGAAAGCTACCTGATGGTGCGAATGCAAGGAGTACATGGCAGGAGGACACCAGAACAAACCCTGGTGCACCTTGCTGGCTATAATGAGATATGTTGTGCCCTTCATCCTCCTCATGCGCAACAGAGATCCCTTGTAAGGCCATATAGCATCAGACAGCCTGCAGCGTGACGACGTCTATCGCTTCCCGCAGCTGGGTCATCTTCAGAGCCCAGAATCGTGGTTTCGCCTGGCATTGTTCTCTTGTATGAGTGTGGAGCTTTCGGCTGCCGCGCAAGATGTCGGCTTCGGGAGAATGCGCGGCAATCAGAACAAAGCACGTGCATCTTCGTCCGAGTTCTTAAGAACTCCACAAGCATACCGGGATCTAACACACGGGCATTTCAAGAGAGAGCGTCCGTCTTGACCTCATCCGTCGAGGCACTCTTTCGCCTTCCCTGCGTTCTCCGAAGTTGGAGCTCAGGTATGCAATTCTCGAAATCAAGCTGCAGGACGTGTCAGAGGCTCCCCTGTGGCTCCGGCAGACACTCAACGACATCAGCGAACATCCGCCATGCTTCCTTCGGTCGTTCTGACTGGCAGCGGGCATCCTTTCGGGAATGTGTGAATTGCATGCCAGGCGATCCAAGTTCACAAATTCTCCAAGTTTCAGCCCGCCGGATGCAAGTCGGCCTAGCAGCACAGCGCCTGCGTTCTAGCATGGCCTGGCTCAGGCATGCGATGGCCTTCCTGCACCCACAGCGAGTACCCATACTGCCGCACTGGCACAAAGATTTCCAGGAGTGGCAGAACAAGAAGGAGCCTGCAGAGCACGCGACATTTGATGTTTCTTTCCGTTCCGTCCCGGGGGCTTGACCTTCAGTACCGGGCGCTTCATGGAAGATAGAGATATATAAAAATAGACGTTGATACGAGTACCAAATTTAAACACCAATTCCAAGTTGGCGATGCTCCGCCTGGCCACTTGTTTGGATTTGGGCGTGCTGCATGGGGCAAAGCAGAGGGTGCGTGGCAAATCGAAAGGTTGAGGATGCTGATGGTGGTGATAGTGATGAAGAGGCTTCGGATATGAAGTCCATTTAGGCAGGATCTGGGGACAAGCCACAAGGACCTTGTCCCGCATCCCGGCTCGAAAAGCAAGCTGGGAGGACGACGCCGAAGCCAATTTTCGACGCCGGCAGAAGCTAAGCCGCCCGGATTGTGAGTCAAGCCAACCGAAGCTAGCCAGCTCAGGGGAAAGGTGCCAGATCCATACACAGAGGATTTGGGAGATTGTCTAGGGGCTGGAGAATGTTTCAGCGTCAGTCTGCGGACTTACCGAGTTGTCGTTCAGGGCCTCTTCCTTGAAATCTTTCAATCTGCAGCAAAGAATCAAACAAGATCATCAGATTTGACCCGCAAGCATCCTTGGCGCAGTGAGGGAAAGCCAGGACCAAAAGCTGGCCGTTAAAGCAAGAATAACACTAGTTACAACGACTAAGAATACTAATACTAATATCAACATCAACGGTCAGTAGTAACCAATACTCAGAAAAAAACTATGCAGAATCACGAGAATGAAAGCTGTCCAAGGCTCAAAGGAGCGAATCAAGATGACTCAGGGCTCTTCCTTCACGGAGCTGGACCTCACCGCTGCTCGGGTTGAAAGCCATTTTTGGGGGGGCCAGGCCCCGGCCGGAAACACCCGAAGATCCCTAGAATCTAAAGCGCTGCCTACGCAACCGCTTTGGAATTCCGGCGGGCTGGAGCTTCCGCGTAGGAGGCAAAAAAAAAGACGAATGTTGCAAGTGCATAATCGTGAACCGCCAACTTGCAGCGGAGTTCAACCCCCGATACGAAAGTCTTGAGGATAGACAGACAACATCCGGAAAGCAGACATGGGAAGCAGATGAGGCAGCAGAACCTCTGATGGTCAAGCAGGCTTTTGTTCCCCCTCAAGCCCTGCTCCTTTTCCGGCTAGCCTCCCCCCGTGTAATGCGAACCAGCAGCAGCAGCAGCAGCAGCAGCAGTGGCTCCTGCCCAGGTGCCGGCGGTGGAGAAGGTCGTCGCCCCTCATGGAGAGGGCCATTTCCTGAAGGCGCATGCGAAGCAGTTCAATCTTGCTTATCTTAGTGTGTCTAAAGCACATCCCTTCCTTGGAGAATTCGCCCTTTTCGTCGTGGATGGGCAGAATCGTACCGCGAGATGCTTCGTCCCGGCAGGATATGGAAAACCTGGACCCCAAAGCAGTCTTCGCAAACGAGCGGACTTTGTTGCACTATGCGGAGAAGGGCATGCCGCACGACTGAAGGTCAGAAGTGTCGCGAGTCCTTTGAAGAATCGTGATTCGTTGTGTTCGAGCTTCCAGACCAAATGCGACACAGACGACAGGCGATTCAAGGTTGTTTTGAATTTGTTGCGGGGGCTAGAGCAGTGAAGCCGGCAAGGTACGTTGCTGCTGTGGCAGTCGTCGCCATGAACCATCACAGTCGGGACGTCAAGGCTGGGCACGAAAAGAAGAACCTAGCTCAATCCCCATGGGTTCGCGACGGGGCATACATTGATGGGGCAAAGGAAGGTTTGGCAAATCTTATACACTTACACATGAGCAGGCACTTGCTCTTGCGCTCTTGACTCCATATTTTTGTTTATCAAATCCGCGCATAATGCAATTCCTTTCGTAGTTTCGTGCATGTGCACCAGATCTTCGGCCTCGTCCTCTCCGCACCTCAGCTGCAAAAGACCCGAAAGGCAGAAGAAGTTGCCGAGTCCGGCCCAAGCTGCCGCAGGGCCACGTCCGAAATTGATGGGTCTCCATTTTGTTGCTCAGCTTCCGAGCTGCGCAACCTGGAAACAGAGCCCAGAAAGCCAGAAGTTCAGCTTTCAGGCATTAACCGCCGCATACTATGTGTGGATTCTGGCCCTTTAGCCGCAAGAAGGATATAGCAAGAGTTCGCCAGATTGCCACGGACGGCCAGCAGAGCCGAGGTTGCCTATTTTCAGCGGCTCTCGGAGATCACCGGGCGCTCCAAAGTGGTCAAGAACCGCCGCCAGACTGCATTATCCTGTACTCGTCAGATGCAGGGGCTCTGGTGTAGAGCCCACGGCTGCGTTTTGCAAGAGGCGAAGCTCGCCTGGATTGGGAAGCTGGACCATGGCTGGCCGCCGGCATGGTCTTGGTGGTGCTTGTCTACACCTTGAGCAAGGCAAGGATCTTTTTGCCTCGTGGCTTCTTTCAATTTCTGCCGGAAAGGCCTGGACGGGAGCCACCACGCACCACTACCAGTAAACGGCTGCGCCGTGGTGCTTCAGCTTTATAGGCATTGCCGCAGGATGGGCACTCTGAGCTGAGCCATCCTTGAGGCTCGCCGCGCTGATTCTTTCTTTCTGCTTTTAATGTACCGTGTGGCTGGTCTGTCGCCGCTTTCCCCAACTGTATGCTGTGGCTGCATGTCGCAGACCAAAACATCGGAAGTCGAGTCTTGCTTGAGTTACTGACATTCGTACGCCCCGAAACCCCGGAGTGCTGACTGCAGAAAGACCACTGCTGCTCGCAACGACCGCTTGGCCAGCGATGCGTAAATTTTGAAAGATGAGTTTCTGGCAACATAATATGAAGCCTTCGAGCATCATCCCAGCCTCTGCTGGAAACCAGCCAGGCTCATACGTCGACATTTCTTGATCACCCGCATGCTGCGTGCTGCGACATGCACTTCGAGCATCAGTTAAGAGTATAAAAGACGTGGAGTTTTCAGGAAGTGTTTCAGCGGTTTCGGGGCAACACGGTCCTTCGATTAGCACGCAGAGCTTCGCCTGAGCATTGTGGGAGGGATGATCAGCGAGTTTGCGAATTTCTTTCGTTCATGTTTGTATTGGGAGTTTAGCACTTTCGTATTCGTGCGTGGCTGACAGGCGCAGGAGGGGCCTCGACAGATTTGGACCATTGCTGAGCAGCAGGTTACTCCATCAGCCAGAGCCACAGAGACAGCGCACCCTGCGGGCTGAAGCAGCGCATCCGGCAAGCACCAACAGAGACCAAGGTCTTGAAGAACCTGTCTGTGAAGCCCTTTCCAGATGTGTGAGACACTTACTGACTACTGTGAGAGTTCAAGTGCTCAAAAACGGGGCAGATGGACATCTCCTTCACCTTTCATTATTGTATACCGAGGCGCCCTCACACGTGGCGCGTGCTGTCAGTCCTGGTGAGGCTACTTATACTGTGGAGCAGTAGTGCCTTAGGGTTGTGCGTGGCGCCAATGGTGGTGGGGTGATCGCCTGATGCTTCAGATGGACAGAAGCGATTGCAGAATTTGGGAAACGCATGGGGGGAGGGGGTCGAAGCAGTGGGCTTGGGCTTTCGGTCCTTTCGGGCACGCTCTAATGCGGTACCTTGTTTAGTGACTCAATGCCTTGCGACTGTTCCGTGGTGTGTAGAGTCAGAGGGTCTTGCGCAGAGCGGCAGCTATCCCTTATGCCGGCCAACACGGTTGGTGGAATGTTGCGTATGGCCGTGCGGATGCCTGGAGGTCCCGCTCTGCCGCGCAACAGGCCTTGGATTCTCAGGAGTGTCGGCCGAAGAGCAAGTCTTGTAAGTGCACCAGCAGCATGAGATTTACTGATTATGACTGTTTTGAACCCGTTGTGAACTCAACATAGTTCAAGCCTTCAGAGCATCCTGCTATCGCAAGATCGCCCCTACAGAGAGACAGCTTCCTAAATCCAGAGAGGGGCCTTGCAGAATCGGGCGCGGCAGGAAGTCCAGGAGCTCTTGTACCTCGACTCAGATGGAGGATGAACTGGAGCTTTTGGGAAAGTTTCAACAGATGTTGAGGGTGCCAACTCCAAGTATATTGCGTGGAGACTGCTTGAGGTTGAACTTCCAATCCGAGGCCGCCCAGAAGTCAGCCAGCCTCTGTGCACATCCATTCCGATTTCTTCACCTGGCATCAGCAAGCTCCAATCTGCGACATGCATAGGCATAAACTAGGCCTATTTAGGCAGTTTGGAAACTCGGAATGTCTGCTATTTGCGAGAGATCCTTCCTTCTCTTCTGCTCCTGCCATATCTGGCCAGACCAGCACCGATGCACGCTATGCAAAACATGATCTGGCGCGACTCTCGGTGTGCGAAACGGCTTGTGAGGATTCCCGGATGCTCTGAGACGTGGCCACGCCGAGGTGAAAACTTTGCTGCAGTGGCATTCGAACTGGCTCAGCGGCCTCCTGGACAGCCAGGCTTCTTGTCCGAACAAAATATGCCTGCAAAGCCCCGAACTCAAATGCTCCCCTTATCGGTGCAGGTCTTCGAGCTGATGTCGCAGTTTGCCGAGCAGGGGTGCGCCCCCAAGTGTCAGCGACGCAATGCGATGCTGATGTGGATTGGCTACCGTTGCGAAAGATGGGATGATGTCGCGCCAGGCCATACTGGGTGCCCCGCGCTGCAGGCACTGCCATGAGAGATGAAGCAGCCTAGAGTGCCTAGAGCAGCTTCGTCGTTTTGTGCGGCCAAGTTGGTTGCAATTTATCGCTCAAGACCTCCAGGCTGCACAGGCCTGACAGGTTTTGTGACACCGCGAACAGCCCTGCGTGGGAAAGAAACTCCTTCACGAGGACGTGCACATGATAGAAGATTCCAAAGCAGTCCCAACCCGTGGGCACTTAAAAATATGAAGGCAAGGCGCGCTGTGTCGGCTCAAGCCAGCAAACCATGAAGCGAAGTCGAGCCACAAAGCACGGCGGTTTGAAGAAAAGCTCCCGCAATACTCCTTGATCATTACGCGGCACCTCCACGTGAAGCCAACCCATTTTCTAACCATTCACCTCTGGTTAGCCGAGACCATGCACTTGGTCCGTTTTGTTCTGCATCTAGCTTGCAGTATATTGCAACACCAAGTAAAGAAAGCCAAGGATTCGGTCAGCACTTTCCGCTTGCCATTGCAAGGGCCACACCAGACAGACCGACAGACAGACAGAGCAATGTCCAGCAGGGCTTACAAAGAGACGGCTTAAAGTCTACGTGAGCATATTGTCTATACATATGTAAATATCTATATAGACACATACATGCACATGTTCATCTATCTTTAAAAGGAGACCGCTCCATGCCAAAGCGAAGACAGGCCGCTGATTTCAGGTGTTTCTGTTGAGAGCTGTCCATCTCGCGAAACCAAGGCTGTGCTCCGTCCTCGGAGTGCGAGGCGGGTAGAGGCCGCTTGGGCAGAACCTGCAAGAAAAGAGGCAGGATATAATGTGGTTTAATGATTTATGCAAAGATATAATTTTCGCGTGGTTAGAAGAATCAGACGGGCAGATGCGGCAACTGTGGTCTTTTTCACTGCCAACACTACCGTGACAGTGCGTTTGAGCCTGATTGGGAAAGTCACGCGCGCGCTTTACGTGCACTGGGGCTGCATGGAATGTTGGTTCAGGGAGTGGATAGGTACAGGTTTCTTTCTTGATGGTTTGAGTGTTGGCCTGCCCACCCCGGTTCTCAGGGCACGAGCCAGCCTTGGCCAGTTTGTACAGGGAGAAGCTTCTAGCAGCGAAGCAGGTCTTTCACGGGCTCGTTAGTTTCACATTCGTTACGGGCGGACATCGCCGCGGTCTGCGCAACTCGCGCTGTGCAACCAAAGGGAACATGCATTGTGCTATAATCACGCAATGCAAAACAACTAAAACATGTCGGATCTGCCTTCAGCTTGGATGCAGGGTTCGGGTGCAGAGCTGAGCCTGCATCCAGGTTGCCTGCTCGGCTTCACGATCACGCAGCCGGACCCACAAAGTGCACGCTCGTACCTACTGACAAACTGGGGTTGACAGTTCAATATCCGCCCAGTCGCACAAGCAATCTCGAAGGAGAGGGTGCTCGACATGGCTTTTGTGTACTGTTCCAGATGACTTGCCGAGGTCCTGCAAGCGAGTGCAGAGCTAGCCGGCAGCGCGCGGCAAATGTTGGAGGGCAGTAACTGATAAGTGTGCGTTCTGCAGTGAAGCGAGATAAGCCAGGTCGGCTGAGCGCTTTCAGCCAAGAAGTGAGAGGAGACACCAAGCAGCACTTAGACAATCTCAGATGTGCTTTTTGGGACAGCCGTCTTCGAGAAGATCCCAGCTCCCAGCGAGCCGAGGTAGCAGCGACCCCGGTGCCGGACATGAGCCGGAGCTGGAGGAAGAGGAGGAGTGGAGATTGCGCATTTTGCTGCACCGCAGCCCAAAGCCACACGAACCGTACTGGTTGCTGGTACCAGCTGTTAGGATCTTGAGGAGCACCACGCCGAATCAGAGGCACGACTGGCAAGGTTGTGCCAAGGGATTGTTTTGAGCACAGGCACAACGAAAGAGCAAGTTTGGTTTTGTGTGTGCGGACCATGTAGGAGGCGGAGGAGCAGGAGGAGGAGCGGAGAGCTGCCAGTGGCAGGCGAAAAAGCTCATGCCTCGGGTGGATGCGTTTGGCAGCTCCGGTTCGTGCGTCTGACACCAACCATGAAATCGCTGACCCTGAGGGCGCAGGCAGCGATCCCCGGCAGGACTCTGGGGAAGTAGGAACTCTGGAATTTACCCGCTTGTGTGGATTCTTGGAGTTGGAAGTAGGAAGGGTGACGTCACTCGGCAGACTCATGTTGATACCGGATACTGAGTTTGCGAAGATTTTTGTTGAGATTGAGCGGGTGTACAGCAGGAGACGCAGAGCCGGAGAAGCGAAGGAAGGCGCACGAGGAGAGATACAGTGAGAGATTGGACGAATTGGGAGGTTGGCACTGTACCATGTAGAGATGCTGCAGCTTTTGCGCAGCTCAGTCCCAGAAGATTGGACAGGTGCGGAGGGTTCGCCGGCACAAGTCACAGAGGGAGGAGCAGGTTCCAGAGCTGCACTTGCTGAAGTTTGTTTTGCCGATTCTTTCGCTTGATTGCAGTGAGATTGGATGCCCACGCGTGGGCCTCTTGCTGTAAAGTACTCATTTCTCAAGGCGTGCCGCCTGAGCTGAGTCTTTCTGCCAGGGCACAACAGCCTACCTACATGGAGCTGGCCATGAGATAGACAGACGTCGGGGTACCGAACAGCGTTGAGAAACTAGGACTCTGAAACTACTCGTACGTTCGTGCAGCTCATGGGCGACCGGCGCTATGAGCCACAGCTCCGGTCACAGCTTACAGCAAGGCCGGGCCACAGAAATGAAATATAGCCCATTACAACATAACCAGATGATATAGTATAGTAAAAAGATAGTGAAACATAATATAGTATAATGTTATGGAACAAGATAGAGTGGAATGTACTAGAGTTTATTATAAGAGAATATAATGTAGCATAGTATGGTATAAGATAATGTAATGAATGTAATATTATGTCATCACATTGTATTTTATCATAGTAGGTTATATCATCGTACGTTATCGTCTGGTATCTTAGAGTATGCTATATTGTATTGTACTATATTACATTACAGTTTGCAACACGTAATGCTTTTGTCTTGTATCTAGTGGATATGGTTGCATACTTTTGTAAGAAGAAATCGCTTCGCCCAATCCGAAGGCATCGCCATGTCTTCAAGACATCACTGCGACGCTTACAGGACCTAGCCCATGCCTTAACTTGCCAAGAGTCTCTGGATGAGGAGGATCCTGAGACCCTCAGAGACCCATGGATCGCGCAATGGCGGCATAAGTTTAGTCACTTGGATTGGGCCCAAGAAGGTCACACTCCACACTCTCTAGGCTTCAGCCACTTCAGGAGAATACAGGAGAATGGATCATACGTGGGGCCAGAGGCGAGGCATAGATCTGCAAAGGCGATCGCCGATGCACTCAAGCCGAAAGAAGCACAGGAGATGTCACCAACGTCGCAACAGAAGCATTGTTGACTTGAGGCCAAAGGGATTCAGGACACATGGCGAGTGGCTCGCAAAAACCGGCCTAGGGGTAACTTCCACCCTTTCGCAGCATGTGCGCAACAACCGATCTCCTGCTGCGCGGGCGGTGCCTCAGCTTTCCGACTTTCAAGTAACACTTGTCAGCGAGAGTGGTAACGCAAAGTCGCTTTCGATTCACAAAGCCAGTGCCTGCAAACCCGCAGAAGAGAGAAGCGCAACGAACCCTTTTGACAGGCCATAGCATGTGAGATTGTGGAACGAACAGGCGTTTGTAGGGTTGCACATAGGGTTTCGATGGGTTCCAGGCTTCTAAACGAGCCTTTGGCCTTGCCCGGTTTCCTCGCGCAAAGCCAGTCTCGAATGTCTCGATAGCTGCTGTGTCTGTGTACAAACGCAGACGGTGGAGCTGTTTTATAGTGGTGGATAGTGGGCGGGTGTGGGTTTGCATCCTCTCATCAAGCCAGATCTTTTGGAAGATGTCCTTGCTCCCGCACCTTTGGTGATGCTTTCCTGCAGAGGATGGTGTACGGTTTTTTGATTTGAGGGAGTGACGAACCAAAAAGGCGCGTACTCAAACGCGCTGGAAGCTGTGTTGATAGATGGTTGATCAGCCCCCACACAGAGTGTCGTCCCAACACCGAGACCTCACCTGGCATGTCCGAGTTATGAGAGCGCAAACGCCGTGCCCTCGGCGCAACCGTAGGTTTGTTGCGCCGAACATTGTCGCCCTCAGAGTGTGAAACTTTCACTATCGAAGCCCGCATGCGCATCGAGAGACCTCGTCTGGATTGTCCGAGTTGCGAGAGCGAACACCGAAGTGTTCAAGCTGTGAAAGTAGACACAGATTGCCGTGTACTACTGATGCAGTCGGACGAAGCGAGCTTTACACAAAAAAGCCAAGGAGCTTAAAACAAAAAGCCAGGAGCTTAAAACAAAAAACCAAGGAGCTTAAAACAAAATGCCTAAGGAGCTTAAAAGCTCCCAGTGAGTGGATGAGATTTCATTAAACTCTGTTTTCAGGCGCAAGAGCGATCGCTTGCAATGGTGCCGACGAACATCGTGGTGCTTGGTGAAATCATGGGAAATCTGAGTCTGTACTAGCCGATCTTTTCGCGAGCTCGAGCCGTTCTGAAGGTAGCCTCCGGTGTTTCACCTTCCGCTGTGACCTTAGCGTCCCTACTCCCGAGCTGTTGTACTTGCACCTACGCGCGCAAACCTCTTCACCCGCCCTGTGGGAATCCTGTTTCGTGAAGGCCTAGGCCTAGGTGTCAGTGAACATTTCACGAACAGATTTTGCTCGGTGGCTCAAACTCCTTCTCTTTAGGCTGTTTCTGAGAGGTAGCTGTTTCTTTGGGTCCTTTTGATTTTTGGTCGTGGTTTTTGTGATGCTGTCCTGATCCGAAAGTGTAGTGAACCCAGCTGTCGTGAGATGAGAACCGAGAGACCTCGTCTGGCGGAGTCCGAGTTGCGAGAGCCCAAAAACAAAAAAGCCGAGGAGCTTGAACCAAAGCATCCAAGGCGCTTAAAACAAAAATCCCAGAAGGAGCTTCGACCAAAAAACCGAGGAACTTGTGAAACAACAAGCCACGGAGCTTGAAACAAAAGCCCAAACCGAAGCACCCAAGGAGCTTTAAAAAAAAACCAAAGAGCTTAAAACAAAAAGCCAAGGAGCTCAACAAATAAGACGAAGGACAAAGCCAAGGAGCGTAAAAAAAAGGGGTGTAAAACAACGAGCTCAGGAGCTTCAAGCAACAAGCCAAAGTGTCTCTTCCGCCTTGGCTGAGGAGCTGGCCGACGTTTGGCAGTGCTACTCCTTAGCTGTGGCCCGGTTGGAAGCTCTCCGGCCGAAACAGAGTCATAAGAACACTAGGCTGGTTAATTAGAATTTTTAACGGTTATAGTATTAAGAAGAGGAAACTGAAGAAACATGACGATTATGGTATTAAGAATAATAAGCATGAGAATAATGATAAGAATAATTCGGACAGAAGTGCGTTGATCAGCTGAGGCTTTGGCGAGTTTGCTGCAGCAGGACGGTGCTTGACCGACTGAGCCTTGCGTCAGGGCTTCGTCAGAGCTCCCAGATAGCTGAAGGATCATCTCATCCTGAACTGCTGGCACTACCTCATACCCCAACTTTCTCATCCAGCAGACAAGGGCGAAGTCGTTGCAGGTGGACAACAGGGTGAAGGCAGACCTGCAGTGAAAGCATTGCAGGCACGACCAACATGTTACTGTCGGGCGCATCATTTTTGCGAGGTGACTTGGATCTCAGCTATCCGCAGCGCGTGGCTTGCTGTGCCGATGGGTCCCTGCTTGTAGCCGATCCAGAAAACGACCGCGTCTGTCGGTGGAGGAAGCCTGCGATGTTTTTCGCTGCACCTTTCCTCGTTAAGTTCTTCGGCTGTCCATCGAGCTTTGGAGGAACGGTCGCGGTCAGCCACTGGGGGAGTTCAGCAAGGCTGAAGACGATGACTCTGTCAGCTATGCAGTTCCTTGGTGTCTCTGGTCAGCGCCCAGAAACTTTGAGCATCCTTCGGCTTACTCTTGATGTTGATGCTCTCCACAGCTTCTCAGCCCAATTGCCCAGTGCCCAGACTCGGACTTGAGGTGTGCTTGGACTGTGACGGCTCTATCGTTGCCACGACGTATCAGGGCCTGGCTCGTTGGGACTGGCGTGTTGGAGAGGCGACGAAGTTCTGTGGGTCGCAAGAGTGTGAGAAGTCCCGACTCAGCAGCTGACGACAATCAGGACCGCTTGTGCCAAGAGGCTGCAGCTGCAAACTTGGCGGACCACTGCGGTCTTTGTGCAAGCCCGGAGGGTGTTGTGGCTGCTCGTTTGAATGTGCTCGAGTTTAATGAATATCTCAAGTCTGTGGCCAGAGCCCCCGAACCGCGCAATTCACGCAGAGGAGTTAGTTGAACTGCAGTTACAACGATCGGGTGTTTTCGTGCTTCGTCCCCGAGCTTCTCAGTGTCAAGCCGGTTTTGAAGCAGAAGCCAAGTCCTTCTGATTGCGAATAATTGCTTATGACGAGTGGTGCTGTACTCATGCAGACCTGGACAGTGCAGTTTGCAAGAGTCCGATGAGGTTGCCGATCATCTGCTGCACGGCTGCACCGACTCGGTGAAGCATGCAAAGATTTCTTTGGACAGGGTTGCTGATTTGCGGAATCCATCGACACAAGCACAACTTGGCAACCGTTTTCCTAGGAACGGGCGAGTGGTTCGATTCCTCCACCGAGGCGTGGATTCACGAGCACGGGCTCTGCTGCCGCTGTTTTCATTTCTATTGTCTGTCGTTGTCATTGCCCCCACTTGAAATCAAATGTCCGCCGCAAGAAGCGAACTGCTAGAAAAAGTGTGAACGACCGAAACGAGCCGGTAAATGGAAGCAGCTGCACAATCGCCTTGGTTGTTACATTTGGATATTCAACGCATGGCGACTAGATTGGTGCTGCATAGTCTCGCGCCCGTTGCATCGGAACATGTGGGTCGGCCTACATCAAAGGCGTAGGTGGAGGTGGGTCGGTGCGAGAGAAAAGAGGGTTGTGTCGACAGACTACCGTAAAGCTCGTTTCAGTCAACATCCCATCTTGAGCTTTCACACGCCTCCAACGGCCTGCAGACGTGAGCGGGTAAACTGCCCGGGGAGCCTGACACGCCCGTGTGTGTCTGTCTGTCTGTCTGTTTGCCTGCCTGTCTGTCTGCCTGTCTGCCTGCCTGCCTGCCTGTCTGTCCGTCTGTCCGTCTGTCTGTCTGTCTGTCTGTCTGTGTGTCTGTCTGTGTGTCTGTCTGTGTGTCTTCTGTTTGCCTGCCTGTCTGCCTGCCTGCCTGTCTGTCTGCCTGTCTGCCTGCCTGCCTGTCT